TGCTTTCCTCTCCTTATGTATATATAAATAACCAACTTAATTACTATTGCCAGGATGTTTAAGAATTTTGCATGTAGAATTCCCCTGGTATGAATTAGGTGAGTGACCATATTAAAATCTGAATACATCTCATGACAGGGCTTTTAAAAAAGTCAAGACAACAATTAAAATTTGGAAATAGGAAAATCTGGGGGTTGGTCATTGTATATATGTTTATTCTGTCAACAAGATAAATGAAATATTGCAAAAGGAACATTTAGTTAAAAACTTATAATGGTTGTGATTCTTGAAAAAATATTTGTTATTCAGAAGTTTAGCTTGAATATTTCACAGCTGGAGTCCAGATTCAATCTCTATCTTAAGGATTATTTTTAAATGGCATTATGTTATTATACCTGTGTAACAATCTGTGGATGTCTCTGAACCTATAAAAAACAAAGCGAGTTTGTCCATTTTACTAAGGCTATTTGGTGGTTCTAAAGAGAGTAGAATTGATTTTGTGCCCTTTTCTTATCATCTAGTTATTAACTTATGTTAAGTATTAAATATTTTTAAGGAAACTTAGGTATCACAATGATAAAACTGTAGATTTGGCTTATTTATCCAAATGGTTATAATATAGTTGATAATTTTTATCAGTTTCCTGTTCCAAAAATGATACATGACACATGAGCTAAAATTGTAATTTGGAACTTTCTGCTTTAATTATAAAACCACATAGCAAGTTGTATGTTCCTTTTCTACATTGACTCTTACTATCATCCATCTAAATACCTTACAATCATTAATTTAGAGCACTTTCTCTTTTCCTTTGTGTTTGTCAGTACCACTAGAATAAAGACTAAATAAAATGGAGAGGAATTTGTACTTAAGTCATGCCCATCTTAGTTAATGGAGAATAGGTTCTATTGATTGCAACCTAAACACATTATTAGTATTTTCTCACTGATAAAAATGTTTCAAATGACCACCCATTTTTTCCTCTCCAAAGCTATCTGCCTTTATGATACCTCTTGTTTTTGATTTCTGATTGTATCAGGTAGGTTAAGTTTATATAGCACTTTTCTTGATATCTTCTAAGCTCTTTTTCAAGGGAAAGGCAGTGTGGAGATACTTACTGATAGGTGAAAGAGCAGGAGGCAGCAAATACTGAGTATCATGAAACTCAGACAGGGAAAGTTTTTTGTACAGTCAAAAAAAAAATTGCATAAGCCAACAAGGATAGTAAAAGAAAACTCCCCCCAAGTTGAAACTGAATGTAAACGTAACAAGTGACCCTGGCTGACAGAAAAGAGAAATTAATTCAAGTAACTTTTGAACAGAGAACTTTGACTGAATACTTTCCACGGGGTATAGTTGAAAGATAAAATTAACTGCGAAAGCATTGCATCTTGAACTTAGTAGGTTTTTGGTAGTATTGGTGTGGCAGTGATGAAACCATTTTGTGCATATTGTACAATAGAGCAGATGAATAAATATATTAATGTTGGAAACCACATATGCTTTGTGGGAAAAGGGAAATACAGATATAGATTGAGGGAAAAGAAGGAAGAATGCTGTGTGTTAGATTGGAATTGAGTATGTTCATATGACCTCATGATTTGAAGAATAAGTGTGTTAACACTGTGTGTGGTGAGGACCTAAAAGTAGGACACCCCTTAGCAGTGAGCACACCTAGTATACACATCTTAGTTTCTAAGTCCCCTTTCCCACAAAAAGGAAGCAGACATGCTGCTTGGAAAAATGGCTGATTTCAGGGTGGAGACTGGGAAGGTGGAAGGTGGAAGGTGAGCCCAGAACATCTTACACTGAAAACTAAGGAAGTGCTCCAAAACTGATGGGGATATGTCAGAAGAACTCAGGACCCAGTTTACAGGGCCTGCTAATTTAGGA